TGGGGACATATTGGACAATTAAAACTATCAACGGGATACTCTAAATAAAAAACCCCATCCTTCCACGAACTACTTTCTAATATATTTATATTACTACCAGTACTGTTAAGATCCTTATTACGATCCCTATTAAAATCAGTACTTGGTCTAAAACTATTTAATAAACTAGACCCATTAACTAAATGAGCATTAAGATATCCCGATTCCCTAACATATGGATCATCAAATGTACTTAAATACTTAAAATCTGGATTAAAACTGTCCATAGTTAAATCATTAAAAGTGTCCCTTGTAAAAACCATCGGTAAGATAGATAAAATCTCCTCACCATGATCATCACAAACATTCTCCTCTACCCCCTCTCCATGCTCCACTGGGAGGACTTGATTCTCACTCTCATTCTCATGAGACTTCATTATAGTCCACACCATTTTATCCATTGGTCCAGCGACCCCGATCACACCCCTAATATATTTAACACTGTCGGCCGGGGCATCAAAGCCAACAGCGGGGACGTTATTAACCCGGTCCAGCGCCAATCCGGTATAAAAATATAAATTACTTTTTTCCATAGCTAAAAGATTTACCTTTCTCAGGGGGAAACTAACCCTTTCCAGGGGGAAACTAACCCGTACCTGGGGGAAACTTACCCTTTCCAGGGGGAAACTAACCCGTGCCTGGGGGAGACTACCCTTACCAGGGGGAATCTAACCCTTACTGGGGGGAGTCAACCCGTACCTGGGGGAGGCTACCCTTACCAGGGGGGCATCCATGTGGCACCATATGGGGCTGCCCAACCCCTAAGCCTCCCTGCTCCTTGTCCCCCTGACTGCCCCCTCCTGAGACCTTCCCCACATCCTAACTGGCCCCCTAGAACTCTACCCCCTACCTGTCCCCTGACTGCCCCAACCCTTATCCACACCCCCACCCCCACACAGACCCCTGGGACTCCCACGCCCCATCCAACCATTCTCCACCCCCTGACAGCCCCCCCCCAGAACTCCCGACCCATCTAAACCAGTGTTGCCAAATATGCAGTGTTGGCCAGCTAAGCCAGATTCTAATTAGACAGAAGTAAAAAGGAGAGAGATTGGAAAGAGAAGAAATAAGGTAGAAAAGGAAAAAGAATACATTTGGGGAGAAGTGGGAGAGACAAAGTCTCACATCCCAGGTGGTGTTTAGGATTCAGCCAGAACTGCTGGAGATAGCAGTGTCATCTGACTCCCTCCCTCCAGTCTGATCTGCTCAGGACATCATTCAGCATTAGGATGAAGATGATCCAGGGTCACTGGAGACGGTGGGGGTGGCAACTATGCTGGTGAAGTTCATGCCAGTGGCCAATTTTTCTTCCCAAAGTCTTCCTCGAAGGAAGTGGTGGTTGGAATGGAGTGGTGGTTGGAATAGACAATCCCCCCATTATTTTGGCCACCAAAAGGTTTAATTTCCAACATACCAGTTTTGATTCACTGATTTCTGGTTCCACACCTTTCTTGTTCATCAAGCATGATCTTAACATGGTACTTGAGGATCAGCAGGCCTTTTTGTTTTGACTAATTCAGTCTGTCTCTGTTTTGCACCACTTCCCATCAACATTTGTTGTTACAGGTTATTGTGACATTTATGAATTTACACTCATTTTTTACAGTTGAGCTCACAATTAGGGTAAATTTGTAGGCCAAATTATCACAACACCGTCTATCCCTACAATGAGTGATAAAAATGCCTGGAGTTCTGTTGATGCTACAGCTTCTTCTGGTAGAGTTGCACCACTAGTGAACTACAGGTGATAGATGTCCTAGTGTAGGCAAGGGCACTGAGTGGAACGGTGTGAGAAAGAGTCCACTGCTGCTCTGAAGTTGGCATTTTGTAATAAAAAGACCAATTTTTGCTAAAAATATTTATATATTAAAGGTTACAGAAACTCTACAATTGCAAGTACATACCAATCCCAAATTAATTTCTCTCCTCTGCCAGCTAATGAACATAGGCAGTACAATATATATAGCACAAGATATTTTTATTTAAAGAGTTTAAAAAATTGAAAAGCCACTTTACCTCCTAGTGTAGCTGAATAACTGGATGACTGTCCAAACTGATTTTCTATAAATTTTGGCAGAAATGTGGCAAAGCCAGTGGCAACTAAAGCTTCTGTAGAAGCAGCTACTATTAAACACATCAACACAGGATTCTTCAGCAGTATCTGGGAGAGAAAAGTTTATTTAGTATTCTGTACATTCCTTCACTATAGTATTACTATTACTGAATGTGTTTAAAAATAACATTTTAAATGTGTGCTGATACCCAAGACTTTTAAACCAAAGTATTACAAGCCCTGAAATTCTGAATATGATTTTCTACTCTTCCACAACTGAAATAGATTTATCATAAATTAGTCTCAAAGGATTATTTTTCTCCAGTACACATGAATTGTTGATTCTAGTTTAAGATGTTTGAGTGATACGATTTCCACGTATTAGACTGTGCTAAAGCCTCCCAAAGGAAGAGATCATATTGCCAGGAAGGCTAAATAACAAGAGAAAGCAAACTTTCACCTTTATTTTGCATCCTCTTATTTCTAACTATATTCTCTTGGGGGGAGGTGGGGGGGATTTTGGGGCCAAAAGTTTATGAGTGATTAGGGAGAAGCAAGGAGATAGGCTATATCTACTCTGCACTTTTGTCGTTAAAACTTTTGTCGGTCAGGGTGTGAAAAACCAAACACCCCTAACCGACAAAAGTTTTAACAACAAAAAGCATCGGTGTGGACAGCGCTTTGTTGGTAGGAGAATGTCTCCCACTGACAAAATTGCCTCTCCTCATTGTAGGTGGTTTTATTTTGCCAGCATGAGAACTCTGGCATATACAGGATGCCATCCAGGAAGAAATTATCTGGCTGGAAACTGATTGTCCTCCTATTCTGTCTGCCACTGCTATGAACAGCTGGGAGTATTTACAGAAGCGCCTGTCGACGTAGAACATTAGAGTTCTTCTGACATCCAAGGTGTGCAAATGTTCTTCCTCCCTGCTTGTATGAAGCTTCAAATGGAATACGAGCAAATAAATTGGGTGGTTTATATGGTAAGATGAAACCACCTTTAGGACGAACTTTGGATGAAGACACAGGTAAATCTTTTCCTTAAAAAAGATTGGATATGGAGGCCCCAGCATTAAGGCATGCAAGTTCCCTACTCTTTTGCCAAGGTAATGGCCATCAAAAATTCCACCTTCATTGACAGATGCAGTAGAGAGCAGGTAGCCAGCAGTTCAAATGGGGAACCATAAGTCTTGACCATAGAATGGAGAATCAGTGTTGACAGGACTATGCTGGGGCTATAAGTATGACTCTAGCCTAGTCCTTTCTCATCTTTAGTAATAACCTGTGAATGAGCAGGATTGGTGACAAACTGTAGATGAGTCTGCCTGACCACAGCTGTTAAAAAGGCAATTGTCACAGAACACAGGCTGTGACCCCATAGATAGCACAACTGCTGACAGTTTCTGTTAGACTTTGTCATAAATATGTCTACTTGTGGAAACCGCCACAGCTGGAAGATGTATCTGGCTACATCTGGTTGAAAAGACCACTCATGGTAACTCATAAACAATCAGCTCAGGTGGTCTGCTAGGTTGTTTTGTACACCCAGCCGATAAGCTACTTCTAGATCTATTGAGCTGTCAATACAGAGCTCCCAACATTGCCTCTTGACAGAGTGAAGAAGAGTGGGCTCCCCCTGCATGCTGAGTTAGAACATTGCTGTCTTGTTGTCTGTAAGGACTAATAGACTGCTTCCCCTGATCTGCAATAGAAATACTTGGCATGCCACTCTGGCAGCATTCAGTTCTCTGACACTAATGTGCAAAGCAGGCCTGCACAACATATGGCCCCCGGGCCGCATGTGGCCCACGTGGGCTCACTGGGCGGCCCGCAGGGGGGTGAATAGGTGGGCTCACTGGGCGAGTCCCTCCCCCCTCCCCCCGCAGCCCTGGAACACCCTGCCAGAATGAAAGCTGCGCGCGGCTCTTTCAGCTGCTGCCGTCTATGGCAACAAGAGATGCCAGCAGCAGGCTGAGGCAGCCGGCTGCTGCACATCAAGGGGTGGGGGAGGAGGCGCACACGTACTTCGCAGCCCTCTCCTCCTCCAGCACCCACCTGGAGGAGATGCCGAGGGGGCTTCCAGTGGGAGACAGGATCATCTGCAGTGGACCTCACTCATCTGAGCAGCTGCTGGACCTTCAGTGAGTGTTTGACCCTGTGATCCGCCTCCCCATCCCCCGCCACCACTCCTGTAAAAACTGGGCAAGGGGCAGCTGCGTCCCCCAGCCCCAGTGAGCCTATCGCGAGGGGCAGCATGGGAGGAAAGAAGCCACATGTAATGGCAGTCCCCTCCCCCCAGCACCCACCACCCCCCTCCCAGAGTCCATATCCCCTCTCCGGCCCCCAAACTCTGTCCCAGAGCCTGCACCCTGCCCTCCACACTCCCTCCCAGAGCCTGCACCCCTCCACCCATCCTGCACCCCACCCCATGCCCCAGCCCAGAGCCTGCACCCCTCACCCCCTCCTGCACCCAGAGGTCCTGCCCCAGCCCAGAACCTGCATCCAGCACCCAAACTCCATCCCAGAGCCTGCACCCCCACCTCTTCCCACATACCCTCTCCTGTCCCCAAACTCCCGCCCAGAGCCTGCACCCAGCCCTCTGCACTCCCTCCCAGAGCCTGCACCCCTCGACCCATCCTGCACCCCACCCCATGCCCCAGCCCAGAGCCTGCACCCCTCACCCCCTCCTGCACCCAGAGGTCCTGCCCCAGCCCAGAACCTGCATCCAGCACCCAAACTCCATCCCAGAGCCTGCACCCCCACCTCATCCTGCACCCCACCCCATGCCCCAGCCCAGAGCCTGCACCCCTCACCCCCTCCTGCACCCAGAGGTCCTGCCCCAGCCCAGAACCTGCATCCAGCA